AGCGCAAATGCGATAAAAATGATTCAATATTATGATGGGTTAGTTGCCATCCCTGAGCCAACACCTGATGGTTATCACAGCTATAGAAAGGTATGTATGCGATGACAGTCACGAAGAGTTTGGGCGCGAATAGTATTTGAGAGCCAGGGATGTAAAACTAGCCATTGGTTTACATACATTAGCCGTACAATCAATATATTATTACAACAACTTTAACTCACGGGTTGGACGAGTCCTCGCAGACAAGTGGACACTGACCTCAACACGTCATCCAATAATATGTGATTTCTTTGAATGTCCTGTAAGTGAAGGGATTGTTGGTATAAATGATAAATGCATTGCAAAACCCATTGATATACTGACGACGGATGAGATGGAAGGACTCAAGTCAAGAACAAACGCCAAGCGATACCTTCTGGAGAAGAAGGTTACTTTAGTGGCCGCAGATATGAAGTATTCGCCCGCGTATTGCGAATCCGATCCCAAGTCGTGGTAGTCTTGATAATTGGCCGGAAGAATGGATACCAAATCAATCTCACTATCAAAACACTCCTGTCATCGAAAAGATAGTCAATATTTGAGCAAATCGTATGACATATCAATGGCTGGGAATGTACTGACCATTGAGTGCTTGGGTTGGAGTCGGATGTGTTTGTGGAAGTGCTCGAAGAACCACTGGGCCCTCATATTCCTATAACATTGGATCAGTTTAAGTGATCACTTCATTCGCTCTTATTTTGCACATTAAGACATACCTCGAGATCCGATATTTATCGGTCATTAAGACAAACACATTGTCGGCCTCTTTGACGGTCTGTTTGGTAGACATTGCGATCATATGATGACTCAATTGCGAGACGTGTTAATGGAGTAAAGCGTATGAATACATGTCTTGAGATGTCTTGAGTGATGTTGAGTTCAATTGCAAATGCAATGTATTTGTTGTCCAAAAGACTGCACACATTAGAGGGCGTTATGCATATCATAGCAATGCATACATTGTATTGACATTGTATTGATATCAGGTGTGAATCACGTGACTATTCAATGCATTTCGTAATCAAGTTTTGTGTTCAAAAGTTTTGAATCAAAACAATGGTTTGAATGACTGAATGACTGGTCTTTACATAACGAGTAAGTGTTTTACACTTTCATTCATTTATTTCTCATTTTTACTACAATTTAGTTCACAAATTGATTCATATTTTTGTTTTATATGCTTTTCAATTGTATTGGAAATGATTGAATATTTTCTTCTTTGGTCACAATGTTTGGCAACTTTTTTGGTTACATTCGTGTGATTGAAGTAAAATCTACTGTAGTTTAAATTTAATTGATTTTATTTATAAAATATTGTTTTCAATTATGATATGATTTATAAATGTTTATTAATTATATGTTGATTGTTATATGTGTGGAGTATATGAGTCGCTACCCATAACTAACCCTTCAATATTACGTTAGTTACTGTATTAAGGTTTTAACTTTTTAAACTATTTGAATTGCAATTAGAATAAAATTTAAGTAAATACTGGATTACATTAAATACTATATTGCATTCATAGCTTTCAATGATGAGCACATAGTTTATTATACATTTAGCTAATCTGCATTTTCTCAACAATGTATTTTTTGCACCTAATTTTATTTGGTAAAAATGTAACTGGTCACACTACTGCCTATTCACATTACTGTGTATAGGAAATAGAAAAATGTTCTCTATTGTACTTACAGTTAATTAATAACTAGTATTTATTATTAATTGCAAATATGAATATTACTATAATAATAGTGTTCTCCAAAGGGGTACACATTGTGTGGAAGCAAAATTAAGGAAAGTTTAGATACACTATATATTTGTTCATTTTAAATTATTAAAATTATTGATTAAAATTATTACTGTATTTCCAATACTATACATGAATATGAATAGATTGTATTTTATAAACTTTTTAATTTTAATATTCATTTGTGTTCACTTTCTTATGTTCGTTACCTTGCTCATATAATTTTAATATTGCATACACGCATTCACATGCAAGCATTTAATATATTTATTTATGATAGACACGTACCGATTACTTATACAATATAAATTGTAGTGATATTTAACATAACTAATTTGTATATGACAAAGGTGATTTGAAAAGTTTCAAAATCTAATTTGATAGTAAATGTGATGATTGGAGGGCAGCACTACACTAGCACTGCAGCACTGCTCGCGTGATTGTCTCCAACAAACGGACCAATGATTTCTATATTGTTGTAAAACTGCATACATTTCGAAGAGGTTTTCAACAAAACTCATTTGTCGGTCACTATTATAACTAAAGAGAAAACTTTTACTTTTACCGATTGCTTGGAACTGATATATGGTTTAAAATTGAGAAAATAATAACAGTATTGACATTATTTGGCAATTATTTTTATAATTCTATATAAACCAAACATTTTAAAACCAAATATTTAAACCATATTTATTGATTGTATTTGACAATTGATTTTTAACAACTAGAGTCTGTCCGTCGGTTGCCTTAACTATTATATACTGTAGGATTTGTTTCAAATACATGAGTACTGTTTAGTTAGGTTACCTAGTCTAGGTAATTACATAAGAATAATTCATGTACTTAATTTGCATAACAACATAACACGTTGGGTAANTAATAATAATAATAATGGGGAGATTTTTAAACAAGATAATATAGTTACAAATGAATACCAGTATTAAAATGTTAATTCAATTACATTTAAAATAAAAATCGTTCAATTCTTAAACTCTTTCATAACAATTCTCTCTAATAATGTATCGGAATTTTACACTAGTGTTAGCTCACAATACATTCTCTCATTAAATAACTCAATAATATTGATATTTTTGATATAAGATTTCAAAAAAGTTAAAAAAAGATGTCATTTAAAAATGTTATCAATTTATTCTTTGAATGGGAATTCGTTGTCATTGAATTTGAAGTGCCGTTTGTCGTAAAATTTAGCCAACGCTGGACTGTACGGGTGATGACATTTCAGATGCATGTAATGTGTCTCGGGTTGGTTTGTTGTATTGCCTGAAACACATCATGATTAGTTTATCTTATAATATTGTTCTGTATATAATGTGTGTTAATATATTTACCACATTCTTCGCAGACATAGACCTTATTCCTCCTCTCCTTATATCCATATTCGTGTGCAATTCCGTGCACTTTAAGTGTATGCGATTCCAGAGAACATCTCTGTGTAAATGATTTATCACAGAAGTTGCACCGATAGGGACGCACTCCTATAGCAATGCAAATAATATATACAGTTAGTGATGATATGATGGGAGAGTAAGAATGGGTGAAATCATACCGGTATGGGTTCGGGTGTGTCGTTTCAAATCAAACGTATCGTTGAAGCCTTTGCCACAAAATGTGCACAAATAGCGTTTGACGTCTGAATGGCATTTCAAATGTCGGTTCAGAAGTCGCGCTAAAGTGAATCGTTTGCCGCAAACCTGGCATTTGAGCGGATCTTCGGGCTCATTGTCGGGGACTGGCGAACCTTTGGTGTGATGGCCAGCATTGGTAGTCAATGGGTTTTTGATGCCATGGCCTCCATTGACGAACTCTAACGACCCGATCACATGTACGGGTAGTCCTAATGTAATAATGAAAGGGTTAGGATTGGGCGCAACGATGCCTAACAAAGCAGTTTCATAGATGTATAGATGGGTTA